TATGGTCAAAGAGCAAAATGTACCCTATTACCAAAACTAAAAAGTATTAGGTTGCTTTATGACTACAGTCACGTGACGCTTAACAACAGGGATACGTTCTGAGAAATGCGTCGTTGGGCAATTTTGTCATTGTCCCAGCATCATAGAGTACATTGAAGAGGAACAAAACTTGCCATCCTACAATATGTCTCTTTAACACGAGGATTATTTTAGGCTGATTATTTTTTGGAAACAAAAGACTCAGAAAGTTTTTCTTGTTACCTCCCCCTTAACTGCCTAAAAGTATTGAGATGAAAAACCTGTCTCAGGAAGCAAGTTATCACCTTTGCATCACATGAACTGGGTGGTGGACAGGGAGGAACTCAGAAAAGCCTGTTGATTGGGCACTCCTCTGTGTTCTGTTTTTCTGTGGCCAAAGAAGCACTGGTTTTCCAGACGTTGGCTGCTTTTCACCTACCTGTGAATTGCTTTCCTTCCCTTTGAAGTCCCTGACTCTCTCCACCCCCAACATCCTTTGTCTTTAGCTAAGGATGGTATTTAAGATGAGGGCTTTGGCCATTTTGGCAAGTTACTCAGTTTTCCTTGGCTTCTCCCATGTATACATGTTATTAAACTTTTGTTTTTTTCTCGTTTATCTGTCTCATGTCAATTTAATTCTTAGACCAGCCAGAAGAACTTAGAACAGTAGAGGAAAATTTCATCCTCCCCTACAGTACTTACACAAACATAGATGGTGTAGTTTACTACATACCTAGGCTTTAAGGTACTAATCATATGGGACCAATATTGTGTTTGTGGTCTGTCATTGACCAAAATGTCATTATGTGGCACACAACTGTGCAGTTAATTTTCTTCAGAGTCAGTATTATCACATCTAGTTCAATCTCAGTTATTTTACTAAGTTGTGTATTAAATTTGGATTTTTTTAGCTTGTTTCATCAGGAACTGGGATATTTTTTTCTTGTTTCTCGTCTCCCTTCTCCTGTAGTTGTACAGTGACACTCCATGTCAGTGAAGAACACAGTCACTTTCTGTGTCTTGCTTCCTTACTGGTGTGTCCAAGGCCCTCTGAATATGAAGAGGAGAGGAGTTAGTGATTCTCCATTATCCTCTTCTGGCTTAGGTATTGTGGAAATAGAATTGCTGTTGTGGAATTTCTGAGGTTCCACACTTTTTGGAAAACTTGAATTATCAGAAAATGAAAATGACATAAAAGTAGTGTGTTTGCCATCTGGAAGAAAATATCACTTGATTTTTCCACTTATTTTGTATTAATATCTCTAATTTGTTATGTAATTAAATGTTATTTCCTTAAGAAATACTGTGTAGATTGGTTCAAAGTTATCAGTGAAGATCTTGTAGGCCCAGTTAAGAGTATTGTATGTGTGTAGTTCTTGTTGAACCTTCCTTCCCAATCTGTATACCTTTTTTTCCTTTTTTTGTCTTATTGCCTTAGCTAGGACTTCCATGATGTTGAACAGCGTGGTGAGAGGGGGCGTCTATACCTTGTTGTTATCCATACCTGATCTTAGTGGGAAAACTAGTTTGTCACCGTGTAGTATGATGTTAGTTGTAGGTTTTTTGTAGAGCCTGTACCTCTGGATTGTGGACTTCACATGTGCTTCTCAGTTTTTTCTGACCTCCCTTTATTGGGACAGAATGGCTACAGTGGGCTGGAGTTGAGTATTTCCCTTCCCTGAGGTCAGTTACATTCTGGTTAAACCCCAGCAGATTAGGCTTTGGTTAAATAGTTTCTCCTGAGGGCAGAGTTTGTTAAGAACAGAATGCTATTAGCTGTCTGAAAATGGTTCCTCTTCCACTCCCTCTGCCGGAAGCATGAGATGATTTTTTTCAGGTATTCACTGTGAAAACTCTGTGTCCTGGGGCAGCCCTCTTTTCATACATGCTGCCCTCAGCTTCCGTCAGTGCTTTGCAAGTACAGCCACATGCCCCTGTTGTTACTATTCTAGCTTTGTGTTCTTTAATATCAACTTTTAGTAGCTGAAAGTGCTAGCACAAATTCTGATAATAGAATCATTATATAAAGTATGTTCATATATTGCAAAGTAAGAGGTCCGACTCACCTAGAGGGTCCTTAAAAACCCTGACTCATGGTGGTATTCAGATAACAACTTGGCTAACGTTAGAATGAAAATCACGCAAATATATTTAAACGTGCATTCTCCCTATCTCTTATTGCCTTCTTCCCCAGAAAAGTGCTATTTCTCTGCAGCACAAGAAATTGGAAATTACTAGTACGTAGTTTGAAGATGGTATAACTGAAAATTTATTATGACGTACCCTTTTTTTTTTTTAATTCAGAAGTAAAAAACACCTCATGCCATTGGAAAGCCTTAGGAATTCTTGTTTTCAGTGCTGATAGAACGTGAAGAAGAATTTGAAAAAACATTTCAGGTTTTTGATCTTAATTCTTTTCTCAAGTTTTTAGTTGGTGACTTAGCCAAGTTTACCCAGTATTGTTATTTTAAAATAGTAAATCATACTTAATTTTTTTTTCTCACTTTTTGTGGCAAAAATGCCTAATCTACCAGTGAGGGAAATTCCATCCCACAACATCTTAACAGATAGTGTGTCAAAAGATACTGTGGGTGAAGAAACGTTTTTTCATTGGGGCTGTAGCTTGCTACTAAAACTGCTAGTATATTTTTGAAGCTTTGGAATCTTCACAGTAAGCAAGAAAGACCCATGTATTGTATTTTGCATTCCTGATTCTTCTGTATTGTGAGTTTGTAATCTGAGTTTTTGATATAAATCAAAGGAAAAGGTATCATTGTATTTTAAAAAAAAACTCAGTGCGTTAATTACTTGCGTTACTTACCATTCAGTATTAGTTTTTGAAGTCTTACCAGCAGCTTATAAATTCTATTCAGCCTTACTCTCAAGATAATGATTTATATAAAATAATACATTACACCTCAGATTATTTTCTATCTTTGGGAAAATTAAAATCCCAATAAGTCAGTTAATAAATAATTATTAATCACTTGTCTGTGAGATATAATTACTTATCTAGAGAATTTTTAACAAAATTTTTAACAAAAGATAATTTTTAACAAAATGAATGTCCTGTTTTTCACTAAGTTGTAAAAACGTTCTGCTCTTTACTGAGGTGTATTATTTGCCTGGCTAGGTAGATGTTTCTTTGAATGTATGGTAGTCAAAGGAAGATTGGCCAGATATATGAACTGAAGGACAGGTATGCTAGATTTTGGGGGAACATGAGGGAAAACTATTTCAGACTTTCAAAAATGATAATTGAACAGGGAAGACATTTTTGAACAAATGTAGGTAGGTTAAACCTAAAACTTTAATGTCCAAATACCAACATTATTGCTCTTTTGTGAAATACTTCAAGTACTTAACCCACCAGTATCTTGCAATAGATAACTTGTGAGTTGGTGCTAAAGGTCTCTTCATTTTCTTGACTTAATAAAGACCTTAAAGAGAATGTTCTTAAAAAGGATTTGAAGGAACAAAAGAAGCATCATATCTTGTCTTTTTGCAGAATGAAATTACTCATTGTCTTGGCTGAAAATCCTGTTAGAAACGTGTATGTGTGTGTTGGGAGTGAATTGAGAATCCTTTTCTTATTGGTACTCAAGTTTCCAGGAAGAGTTTTTCAAGAATGCAATTTTGATTTAGTACCACGTATGATTCCCAGGAAATTACTTTGGGTGAAATACTTACCTAATTACACTCAAACGCTGAACCTGCTTTTTGCAGCTGTAATTCCATTTTAATCAGCCTATATTTGGGAAGCAGGTTTTCTTATGCTTCTGGATATGGAGACAAACTAGGAGCAGTAAGCTTGATAGTAAAAGGATTCTTCATTGTGCTCACCTAACTAAATAGGCTAGAAAAGCTTATGGTAAGAAAGTAGGAGACTTATGTTTCTCAATTTGGGTAATGGTTAAGAAGGTTGAAAAACATTTATCAGTGAAGTAGCTAAAAAATGTTTTCATAGGCTAGGTTCCCAGGATCATAATGGTAGTGTCTTATCTTTCTTCTAGGTGTGGTATTTGAGAAAAGTTTTGAAACTTGGGGCTCTCAGTGTATTTAGAATGTTATAATTTGGTATCTGTTCCTTTCATTAGTACAGAAACCCTTTTGTTATATGTTTCATGTCTAGAGCTCTTCTTTCCTGAATTTGCTGCTTCCTTCCACGTGGCTTTTTTTTTTTTAAATACATACTTTTTTTTTTTGAGGAAGATTGGCCCTGCACTAACATCTATTGCCAATTTTCCTCTTTTTCTTTTTTCTCTCCAAAGCCCTGGTAGAGAGCTGTATGTCATAATTGTACATCCTTCCAGTTGTCTGTGTGGGCCACAGCCTCAGCATGGCCTGATAAGTGGTGAGTAGGTCTGTGCCCAGGATCCGAACCGGCGAACCCGGGGCTGCCGAAGCGGAATGCGCGAACTTAACCACTATACCACCAGGCTGGACCCCCATGTGGCTTTTTAAAATCATTAAACAAATTTTTTTTATTAGAACAGTGCTTTATTTATCCTTTTGTTTTTGTCATTCAAGCCAAGTGTGCAGTACTACTTTGGAACTTAGGTGATTGGCAGTTGAACTGAGTGTGTAGAGTAGCCAAGGTAGATTCTTGAAAATGCTGTTCCAGGGGCCAGCCCAGTGGCGTAGTGGTTAAGTTCGCGTGCTCTGCCTCCATGGCCTGGGGTTCGCAGGTTCAAATCCTGGGTATGGACTGACACACCGCTTGTCAAGCCACGCTGTGGCAGGCATCTCACGTGCAAAAAAAAGTAGAGGAAGATAGGCACAGATGTTAGTTCAGAGCCAGTCTTCCTCATCAAAAAAACAGAAAATGCCATTCTAAAGAAAAGATGGTGTGGAATAGTGTATGTCTGAATGTTCATTACCTCAACATGAGCAGCGTTTTCGTGTTTGGATAGGGTTTATGATGATTTTTGTCTCTCAAGAATTTTATGTTCTCATTTCCTTCTCTTCTTTTTTTTCGTCAGTGTAAACCAGAATACAAGGTACCTGGACTTTATGTTATTGACTCCATTGTACGACAATCACGACATCAGTTTGGTCAAGAAAAGGATGTTTTTGCACCCAGATTTAGTAATAACATCATTAGCACTTTCCAGAATTTATATCGTTGCCCTGGGGATGACAAGGTATGTTGTTATTTTCTTTTTTAAGTTGATATATGACTCTTTTGGTCTTAAGGAGACTCTTCAGATGATCTTAATTTATGATTTTATGTTATCCTTTACTCTTAGTTATTCTGAGTTTGAATATTTAGTTATTACACTATCCGTGCTCCTTTTTGTTCTTAGAATCTTCTTAAAGAGAGTGGAAAGATGTAGTTGATTTTGCTACCTTGTAATTTATTGAAGCAATTGGTGTTAAAGAAACTGGCTATAAGCACTTTTGGAATTTTACTGAAAGCTTATTTATTCACATACACAACCAATTTAGAATTTTGATTATTTGATCCGAGCTGATACTTACCTATTTAGTGTCTGTGAAAAATGGATTTGCCAAGCAATTATTAGGAAATAACTAACTGCATATCAAAATTCTTTTGTTGTAGAGTTTTATCAGTGCTAGAAACCACACTACTAGGTCTGCTAGATCTGAATGAGTAAATATTCTGTAACACAGAAAAAGGTGGCTTTGGACCCTGAGAATAAAAAAGGGTTGTTTATCCTCATACGTGCTCAAAGGTATTAGAAGGTTACTTATTTTGGATGCTAATTTGGAAATTTAGTGTGCTCCTCTCACAGGGTTGATTGAAATATTGATTATATAGGAAAAGGTAAGAATACATGAAGACTAGTGGTTGCTTTAAGGAAGAACCACAAAACTTAAAAGCTTACCACAAGTCTTTTACCTCATCTCAAGTACAACAAGATTAGGTAGTTTTTATTTTTAATAACTATAGTCTTTATTCAGAGAAAAATCTTTTTATAGTGGATAGATAGGGAGATAAATTTATTGTATCATTCTTTGTAAACTATTCTTAGATATGCTTCTTTTTTTTGGTGAGGAAGATCAGCCCAGAGGTAACATCTGCCAATCCTCCTCTTTTTGGTGAGGAAGACTGGCCCTGGGCTAACATCCATGCCCATCTTCCTCCACTTTATATGGGATGCCGCCACAGCATGGCTTGACAAGCGATGCGTCAGTGCATGCCCAGGATCCGAACTGGCGAACCCCGGGCCACCACAGCGGAGCGCGCACACTCAACCACTTGTGCCACCGGGCTGGCCCCTGCCTAAAGGATTTAGATAAATGGCCTGTAACAGCTATCACCA